TTATATTATGATAAAATAATATATATTATATATATATATATATATATATAATTTTTTTTTTTTAACTCTAAAACTTTATTTATTTTATAAAAATTAAAATAAAATTATACCAATTGAACAAATTATGATAAATAAATATTTTTTTTAATTATTTTCTTTTATTTTTATATTATTTTTATATTTATTATCTAATTAATCATAATTCTATTTAGATATTTCTTTTTTATTCATAATATCATATTTTTTATCAAAAACTAATCTATTTAAGGAAAAATTACTTATTTATAATTTTATAACTATTCTATTTTAATTAAATATTAATTTATTTAATTTAAATCAAAATAAAAAAATTTTAATAACCTTAATCCATACTTTGTGTGACATAATCTGCTATTAAATCAGAATTTTTAGATATAGGTCTTCCTTTATTTATATTTTATTTTATTTTAATATAATTATTAAAAAAACCTATTCCTATTTTAAGTCTTTAAAATTCTTTAGCTCCTATACAATCAATAATTGATTTTATGCCATTATGTCCTCTTTTTAGATATTTTTAGTTTTAACTTTTTAAAAAAGTTTTATACTCTGCACTTCCTCCATTTTTTATTTTATATGAGCCTATTTTGGAATCAAGATCATCATGCAAAATAAATTAATTTTTGTAATCTATATTTATCTTATATATATAAAAATAAATATAATTAATTAATATTTAAATGATAAAAATAATTGAACATCTATATTTTTTAATAATTATTTATAAGGTACTCCACTTTAATTCATATAAAAATTTGTTTTAAAAAAAAGTATATTTTAATCTGATTATTATTTATAAATTGCATATTATCCAACTTTATAAAAAAAAATTTTTTTAAAAAAATTAATATATTTGTAAAAAAACTTTTTATTATTTCAAATTGTAAATTTAATTTCTTTATCAAATGATTTAAATATATTTTTCCTATACTATGTCTTGTTTTATCGTATTATGGAGATGGATTACCCAAAGCATAAAACTATATTTAAAAAAAATTAATTTTTTTTAATTTTTTTTAGTCAGAATAAATAAAATAATTTAATTACAATTTTGCTAACATTTTTGAATTTCATAAAAATAAAATATTTTTTTTTGATTATTTAATATCAAATAAATGAAATAAATATTAAAAAGATAAAAATTATATACTTTAAATTTGTATTTATTTATTTTTATATTAATATAAAAAATATAAATAATAATATTTTTTTATAAAAAAATTAATAAAAATGTAATTAGCAGTATTTGATTTTAATGAATATTCATATTCTAAAAAAGCTGGAATATTAGCGATAGGTACAATAATATCTGAAATATTATCATATCCATTTGACAGAATAAAAGTATATCAAATAAATAAAATAATTGAAGGAAAAAAATCAACATTTAAAATAACAAAAGAAATTACAAAATTAATATATTTTAGAGACTAATTGAAAGGATTTTATTATGGGTTAAAATACGGAGTTGATAGAACATTAACGTTTAATATATCCCGATTTTTCGCTTTTAATTATTTTTATAGAAGTAATAAAGATGAACCAAAAAATGAATTTTAAATATATATTGACGCTCTGAAAGCTTAATCGATTGGTTTTTTATTAAGCCAGCCTGTAAATTGTATAAAAATATTAGTATAAACTGAAGAATTAGGTGTTGAGGAATTAAAAAAATAGAATTATGCCGAAAAATTTAAGAATGTGTTTTAATATCATAAATAAAGCCCAAAAACATTGTTTTTACCAGGAATTAAAAGTGGTTTAATTTTCTAAAATGCGCTTTGTGTAAGCGAAATTTATCTGTTTTTTAAAATTTATGATTATTTAAAAAACTTAAGCTTCAATGTTTTTGCAAGTGCACTTGGTACTAGTTTTATTACAACCACTTTTTTGCATTCACTTGATTTTTTAAACCATAGATATTCTTTGAGAATTCTTTAGGGCGTTATTTTGCCGAATTTTCCTTATATTGTGACTCGAATTTGTGCTACGGAAAAAAATGGAATTTCGACTATAATTAATCAAGGATACATACCTTCTTTGTTTAGAAATTTAATTTCTACTTCAGTATTTTTTTATACATTAAGTTTTTATTAAAATAAACCAATAATTTATTGAAAATAAATAATTATTTTCATATTAGAAATACATGTTTGCTATTTATATATTAATTTTTAAAAAATATAAATTGGTTTATTAGTTATTAAATTAGAAAAAAAAAAGTATTAGTATTTTTAATTATATATTAATTAATATTCTTTTTAATAAAATTATATAAATTTTAATTTTTTATAATAATATTATTATTATAATCATATTAATTAAATTTCTTTATATTTTTCAAATTAAAGGTAAATTAATTATTTTTCAAATTAATTAACACTCAAAAATATTATTAAATATAAGCGAATATAATTATTCTACAATAAAAATTGTTGTATTAACAAACACAAAAAAAAAATAGCTTTATATTAACTATAACATGTCATGCATGTATTTTCAAATAAATATTTAATCCAACTTGTAGGATTATATTTGCACGGTAAATCTTAAAATATATTCATAAGATTGATTTTTTGAAGTATACATTTTTAAAGCATTCTTACAACAAAGACGATATTAAAAATAAGACATTAAATTTCTGCATTTTTAAGTAATAAAAAATCATATAATATTTATAAGTTTTATTAAAAAATTCTATTTTAAATTATTTTATTAATTCCTTCATTAGCATTTAAAATCAACCTATTTATAAATTATATAAATTACTTTTTGCTTAGCAAGAAATTAAATTTTTTAATCCAAAATAATTAGAAAAGGTATTTAATATAGTTATAATTTACATTTTCAATATTTTAGCAGCATTACTGGCTGAAAAACTGTATTTCTGCATATAGAATTAGTAGCAGATTAAATGCCAGTCTAAGTTTCCATTAATATTTATTATAATCTAAATAATTATCCCTTTGAAGATTTCCAAGTATTAATAATAAAAATTCAAAATCAATGTATTAACTTAATATGTACGGTTGAATCTTTTATTAGAAAAATAAATAACTAACATATAGATTTAAAAATTATTTTGCTTTTACCAACTTTACATATATTTTTTCCATATAAAATACTAAGATTGGTTAATCCTTAAGTAAAAATATTAACTCCATTTTGCACTTGAAATTCCTGTTTTTGTAATTTTTAAATCAAAGTTATGAAAACATTAATTGATAATCCAAAAAAAAAAAATTATTATTAAGTTTTTGTTAAAAAGAAATTGAAAAAAAAAATAATAAATTAATGTAACCATTTTTACTTTTTAGATGATATTTGTATTACTATTATTTTTAGCAATAATTAAAAAAATTTTAAGTGTATTTAATTATAAAAAGTAAATAATATAAAATATAAGTAAAGAAATAAGTTAATAATCAATTATAATGAAGTTTTTAAGTAATTAATTTTTTTAATATTTATAATAAATTATATTCATAATTATATTTTTTTTAAAAAAAAATAGGTAATTTTAATAAAATAAAATCATATGTTATGTAAATGAATTATGAATTTTTAAAGTTTTATAATATTTATACTTATTTTTTAAATTAGAATTTTATTTAATTTTAATTGCATATATTTTGTCGCAGCTGTATATATATTATAAATTACTTTATATTATTAATTTTATCACTTTTTTCATAAATAAAACAATTATTCATATTGATCATTATTATTATTCGGCATATTTTTCCATCATTTTATGAAACTCCTCAAAGCTAATTTTCCCATCATTATCTTTATCAATATTCTAAATTATTTACTCAATAATATCACTATTTTTATTATTTGGATCTCCAAGAATATCCTTCAACTCATCCAATGTAATATATCCGTTTCCATCCGAATCAAAGACTTCAAAAGCTTTAGATAATTTCTAATTTTACAAAATTTATTCATTATTAACACATACAGTAATAAACTCTGAATAATTAATTTTGCCATTTCCATCAATATCGATTTATTAAAATATTTTATCAATATCATAATCTCCTTTAAAAATATCAGATAATTTTTAAAATCCGTTTTAAATTTCTTCTTTAGTAAGAAATCCGTCATTATTATTATCAATAGATAAAAACAGTTCTTTCAAACTTTTCGTTTCTTCCTTTGTTATTAATTAATTTGCTATATATAACAAAACAGCTTATTATAATTTATTCTAAGTATTAAATTTTTTTAATTTATATAGACACTTATTCTTTAAATCTATTAATTATTTACTTTATTTATTATTAACTGCAAATTTCTTCAACCAAGTATGCTCTTATATTTCTTTAGCACATAATCTTTTTTCTTCTGGACAAAGCATTTTCTTTATTAAATCTTTAGCCTCATCACTTATACTTTACCATATATCTTCATCCATATCATATTATAATTGCAATATTTTTTTATAAATTTCTTATTAATTTCCTGTAAAAGGGGGTTCACCGCACAAAAGAATATATAGAATAACACCAGCTGACCATATATCACATTTATGTGTATATTTTTTTAATAAAACTTCAGGCGAAATATATAAATTAGTTCCTAATATTTCTGTTTAAGGTTGATCTTTTATTTCTGTCGCACAACCCCAATCTATTATCTTTTTTAAAATTTTATTATTTATTATTTTTTAAAAAATTTACTTTTATTTAATATTAATTATCTCTTTATTTAGAATTATACTCTAAAAGAATATTTTCTGGTTTAAGATCTCGGTGCATAATTTTATTTTCATGTGAATATTAAATTACAGATATTAATTATCTAAAAATAAAAGCAGCATCACTTTCTTAAAAAGATTATAATTCAATAATTTTATCAAATAATTCACCTCCTTTTATTAATTCGCTTACTATATAAAAACATTTCTTATCTTAATAAAATTCATACATCTTTAATATTGATGGATGGTCTAATTGCTTTAAAATTTCGATTTCTTTTAGTAGCCTGTTTTATTGGTATACATCTTTGATATTCTTATTTATTATTTTTAGAGCTTTTTCTTCTTTAGTGACTTTATCTATAATCCTTTTAACAACTCCATATGTTCCTTCACCTAGTTTATTTTTTATAATATAGTCTTTGGTTAAATTGTTAGTGTTTTCTTTAACAAAATAAGCCAAATTTAAAAATTTTATTGTTGACATTTTTTTCGGAGCTATGACTTAATTATTTATTTATATATCTTTTTGATTTGCACAACCCATGATTTAAAATAAATTATTATTGTTTTAAAATAATAACTATTTATATTAGTTAACTTTATATAATTAATAAACTTAAATTATTATATTAAAGCATAAAGAAATTGATTTTATTATATTCTTAAATTAATAATTAGAAAAGAAATTATTATTTCGATAATAATTTTTATAGAAAAATATAACTTAATTTTTTATTAAATAAATATTTATTATTACTATCATTAAATAAATAGATATAAATAATCAATAATATTAATTTGAAAATTATTGATTTATTCTTTTTTATAATATTTTTAGAAAATACTTTTGATTTTAAAATTATAAAATTTAATATTATTTTTTAAAAATAAAAACTTTAATATATTTATATATAATAAAATTCATTTCAATTTAATTTAAAATTAAAAATAAAAATAAGAAAAGTAACAAAAATTAATTATTATGCATTAAAAATAATAATTATTTATTTAGGATATCTTTAAGATAAAATGTCTTTTATAAAAATAAATTTTCTATACAATATTATTTTATAAATATATAATCATATATTTATTATATTTATTTATTTTAACAATATCTATTAATAATTTGAAAATTTCTTACTTTCTTTATTATTTTTTTCTATAAATTTAAATATTTTTTTTAAAAAAAATCATGTAAATAATATAAAGAACTAAAATAAGAATATATTATATCTTTAATTAATTAAGTTGAAAAAAATATATTATATTAATAAAAAATACTGTTTTTTTTTTAATTTGTTTTTACTTTTTAATAGTTTTTTTTTAGATTAGTAATTAAATATTTTATTATAATTTGACTATTAAATCATTATCTATTAAAATATTTTTATTAAACATATAAAATAATAAAAAAAGAAAATGAATTGAACTTATTTTTTCTATTACTATTTTTACAAACTTTTTACAAGAAGTAATGCTTGTTTTATTGAAAAAAAATATGTTTTAGTTAAATCCTTCATATAAAACTTATTATAAATATATAAAAAATAATATTTATTAATAAATTTTAATAAAAAAACAATAAATTAGGGATATAAATAAAAAAAAATAATAAATATAATAAATTAAAGAATTCTTAATATTTATACGAGTATATTATTTTAATATATAATATTAAATTTTTAATATAAATAAAAATACACTTATTAAATTTTATAAATATTAGTTAGGTTAAATTATAATTTATTTTAAATAAATAATAATTTAAAATAAATAATTCAAAATTAATAAAATATTATTTATATTAATATATATATATATATATATTAGATAATTTTTAATTTTATAAATTATATTTATTATAAATTTAAATAAATAAAGAATATGTATAAATAATTTAATTGTCTAAAAAAATATATTTAAATAAATAATTAAATATATATAATATTTATTTATAAATATATTTGGAATGGGCATTGGGGTTGGGTTGGGGTTGGGGTTGGGGTTGGGGTTGGGGTTGGGGTTGGGGTTGGGGTTGGGGTTGGGGTTGGGGTTGGGGTGGGGTGGGGT